ACTGCAAAAGATGTGTGTATATGTTTGTGTTTCACTTAATGAAAAAAATGACATTCATAATTTTTAAATCTTTTTAGAAAACAATTTTTTTATTTTCCAAAGGAAACTAAAAATTTTCTTCCTCAAATCTTCTCAGGTATCAAGGAGAAAAAAATTAAGAAAGGGTGGTAACTACCAATTTGTTCCCCTAAATAACTTTACTCTCAATAAAGCCTTTTTCCCACCCAAAGGTGGATGGCCAAAAGTAAAGGAGCAAGTCTCCATACTGCCAGTCCCATAGGTAAAGCAAGCAGGGCGGAAGGCACCAAGTCTGTGTACTTTAATCTGACCGCCCTCCCCCTACCATTAACTCCCTCATCCTGCTTTTTTTTTCCTTAAAGCTTCCTTGATCTCTTTATTGCAACTGAAAAACATACCTTATTCCCTATGCTCCCCTACCTTTGGGATTTGTCTTTCTGTTTGGATCTGATTTGGTCCCATGCCAAACCTATGAAAAATTGACTCATTGTTCCAGGAAGATTTCTCAAGTAACGGCAATTAAAAGAATAGCTTTCATTGAGTTGGAACTGTCAGTATGCTGGCTCTGAATCACATGTCCACTGAAAAGACATTACTTACTAAGAGACAAAAGGACCTTACTCTAAACTCCAAATGGCAAATTTTGTGAAGCTGGTGGAAGATAAAGACAGTAAAGGTAAAAGGAAAGATGAAGACAATCTTTTAATAGAAATAGTATCCATTCAACTTCAGAGATATTTTAAATGTAACTAAACTCTACTACTCTACTCTTTTTTTAATACTTATTTATTTATGTATCTTTAGTTTTAGGTGGACACATTATTTTTGTTGTTATGTGGAGCTAAGATCGAACCCAGTGCCTCATGCATGCTAGGTGAGCGCTCTACCACTGATCCACCACCCCAGCCCTACTACTCTACTATAACTAAGTATTTTTTTAACTAAGTTTACGAAGATACTCTTTCCAATCTCTGTAAATGGCAACTGCATACTCCCTTTGGCTGAGGCCAAAACCTTCAGAGTCATCTGTGACTGGTCTTTCTGTGCTGTTCCCTCTGCCTGGAATGCTCTTTCTTCAAATTATCTCAATGTTACCATGTCCACTTTCATATTTCTTCTAAAATATTCTCTTCTTAGTGGGGGCTTTCCTGAACATCCTATTTAAAAATCAAACTGCACTCAATTCAGCCACTGCTGTCTTCGCAGACTTACTGTTCTCAAAACACTGGCATAATACAGGCCATATCTGGCTCATTTCACCTATCAGTTTTCTGATGGTCTCTCCCTACCACAACAATTTAGTAGAATGACACCTGACACAGTCAGGACCCTAATAATTTGTGTACTGAGTAAAAATGACTAAGTAAAATCATAACTTTTGCCTCAGGAATGGCTATCATTTAATCTTTAAATTACTCACTCACTTGTTCGAATAAGCTCTACAACATCTTCCTGATACATACTGGTGGTAACATTTAGGCATAAATTTTACAAGCAATGAATAAAACA